ATCCAATCACCAAGACAACGTGGCCGAGTGGTTAAGGCGATGCCCTGCTATCTCTTACGAGACATCATAGGCATTGTGTTCGCACGCGTAGGTTCGAATCCTGCCGTTGTCGATTGTTTTTTGTTTGCCTTTCATCGTACATATATCTATGGCAAACGTCCTCGTTGGTTTTCTTTTTTGCTGCGCAGAGATAGATTACTTCAATAAGCAGAAGGTGAGATGGTCTGGTTGCTGCCCTCATGATGCTGTGTTCAATTGATGTTCTAGATGTCCGGTTTATCACTTTGTACCAGTGGATCAATTATCTGTCCTGTACAGCAAAACTAGATTACTATGTGCATTTTCTATTTGTTGCCTCCAATTAAGTTTTTGTTCCCACTAAAAGAGCACATGCCACAGAGCGTGAGAACTGCTTTGAACTGGTTCGAGGTTACGGCACTGAAGCAAGGTTGCATTGAGAAACTCAAGGATCACGGAGCGCCGAACGATAAATGCTCTAAAAAGGCCCGGTTCTACTGATACGACATGAATCAAAGACCCATGTACATCTGTGACTAAGAGAGGTTGGAGTCGGGCGCTTGAAATTGAGTTTCAGCGAAACATCTTCACGCTCAAAGTCGAAGCCAATCGCGACATTTTTCACATGCAAATTGTCCTCACAGGGAAAATTAATTACGCAAAAACAAAAGGCTCAAAACGCAAAAAAAGAAGACCCGCGTATCGCGGGTGGCTGGATCTCTCCCGCCGGGAATTGAACCCGGGTCTCAAGCGTGACAAGCTTGCATACTGACCACTATACTACGGAAGATGAACAATCTGAAGACTGCTGTAGCTGGGGGGGTTGTGATTAGGCTGGCGAAAACAAATCCTATATAGGTATTGTGGGATTGGTTTTATAGAGTTGAGAACTTGACTTTCAAGGTCATGAGCTCTGACAAGCTATTGAACTGATTGGACAACAAGAAGTCCACATGATTGGATCACTGTATCTAGTATTTAGTAGAGTTCAAATCAATTGCGGGCGTAATTTCTGTACTTTAGTAGAGCGACGTGGCAAGTAGAAAAGGTAGTGTCTGCAACAAGTGGCAACATCGTCGCTTCAACAGGCTAGACAGGTCTCTGGGCATGTCATTGAGTTTCGCATTTCATCTAAGTGATATCATATCGTCTTTCCTTAATCTGACTCCATGTATACAATGATTACAACTGGCAGGAGAGCTTCCAATTCAACATGCTATGCATACCTTACAGCTCATCTCCAATGGCGACAGTGGACTGAAGAGAAGAACTCAAATGGCGAATTGGGATTACTATTAGTCGACCTCCCCAACCACCATGAGAGGGGCTAAGGGACAGTCCAGGTTTACTAGCAACTTGACCGAGCAGAACACTTATGCCCATTGGTAGGCACAAGCCCAAGTGGCAGACTCAACAAAGCATCAACCTCGCGCGCGAGCATCTGCTCAATGACTGGACACGCTTGACCTAACGCAGGAGACATAGTTTTGAAGTTTTAAAACAGTGTCCTTTTGCCAGCCTCTCCCATTGTCTCTCGCCATTCATCCACGCAAATTGCTACTCATTCCTGCACGAATCTCGTCAATTGATCATCAACCTCCCATCGTCGTCTCCTACCTCCAAACCGACATCAACCCGAGCTTCAAGATAAACAATTAACTCCCTTCGAAAACACAACAGCAATGACGTGGATAAACTCGACAGTCGCCGCATACCTCGTCAAGAAACATCTCGAACTCGAAACTGTGCCATCAGAATGGGGTCCCGGCGCAGGAGCAGCCGGTCAACCACGGTCATGGATGTACTATGTTGGAGGGGTCATCATCGTTGGTATACTTATATTCATCGGGCTCACTGCCAATTGTGACTGGGAACAATTTTTTTGGAGGAAGGAGGGTGCTACTGTCGGTTGATATAAATAATGTGTCTGTGCCTCCACCGTCTGTACACAATCCGGGCTTCTTGATGCCAGTGTGGGCGCTTGTTGCAACCTGTGTCTGATACCTCTGCCAGGTTCACCCCGCGGAAGTCACTTTGCGACAAATCGCGCGCGCCATTTATATCGATCAGACCAGGGCAGAATTATAAGGAAAAGGTATGTTGAAGCCCCACATCTCAGTGTTTCCAAGACTGACCTGAATAACAGCCATCTTGGATATGGTAATAGCGGTAAACTCATGTCTGTTGGGTACTACACATCTTAATACACTCCGTTTGGGCATCATATTCACTATTCAAATTGTTCTATCTCAGAAACTTTGCGTGACGGTTTACATCCTTGTAGAGCAAGTATCGGAATTTTCCAGGTCCACCTGCGTAGCACGCCTGTGGACAAAAGGCACGCAGCCACATGAAATCTCCAGCTTCCACCTCGACCCAATCCTGGTTAAGACGATAGACAGCCTTTCCCTCGAGAACATAAAGACCGTGCTCCATAACGTGTGTCTCTGCAAAGGGGATGAGACCGCCTGGTTGAAAGGTGACGATGTTGACGTGCATGTCATGTCGCACGTCGGTGGGATCAACGAATCGGGTAGTGGACCAGGCACCGTTTGTGTCGGGCATTTCTCTGGCTTGAATGTCCTTCTCATTGGCGAAGAAGGCCTCTGGGGCGTCTAGGCCGGGTACGTATTCGTAGGCCTTGCGGACCCAGTGGAAGCTGGCGGTTTCGCTTGAGTTGTTGCGGAGAGTCCAACCACACTTGGGTGGGAGAAATGCGTAACCACCAGCATCGAGAGTGTGTGCTTCACCAGCTACAGTAACAGTGATTTCACCCTCGACGACAAACAGGACGCCCTCGGCTGTGTCGTCCATCTCAGCACGATCACTACCACCTCCAGGTGAAACCTCCATTATGTACTGGGAGAAGGTTTCGGCAAATCCTGAGAGAGGACGGGCAATAACCCATAGTCGAGTCTGCTCCCAAAAAGGTAGAAAGCTGGTAACAATATCGCTGAAGCAGCCCTTGGGAATAACGGCGTATGATTCAGTAAACATAGCTCGGTCGGTGAGGATTTGTGTCTGAGGTGGTAGACCACCCTTGGGGGCATAGTAGGCGCCCATTTTTTGATCGTTGCCCATGATGGATGTTGTGAAGTAACGTTTAAAGTGAAGATAGAGCAGAAACAGTCTGAAATGGGTGATAATAAGTAGTCAAAAACCCCGCATCAACTCTCCGAAACGGAGATAGATTCGGCTCACTTGCCCGAGATGGAGGGTGCATTTCCATCTGCAAGTCTACAGCAGCCAATCAGTCTCGGTGTATTTATCTATCTCCTAGTCTGATGGACACTCGCTTTAGTCTTGAACAGGTTAGATCCGGACCCTGCCGCCTTTCTCCAGCGACGGTTGAATCCGATGTCGTATCCGTTTGGAATCAGTCAAAAATTGTATTTCATGACTTTCACTGTACTAATTCGAAAATTAGTTGTTAATCTGAACGATTACGTATCATTGTATGGGCAAATACCTGTAGCTGCTACTTAGTCCAGCAAGTCGCGATGATAAACGTCAGGCTTGATCATCAGGATGTGCATACATAAGACTCCATACCCTACAAGCGTTCTAATGCAATGTCCATCTGAAGAATGATTATTCTTTCATACAAAACAATACAGTCTCTTATCAGGGTCTTGCCCCCGTGTTCCCAATGGACTCTTAAAACGAGATGATGTTGTGCTGTTATATATGCACTTGGACCACATCCCATCAGGCATAAACCAATGAAGAGATTTTGAGAAGTTCGATTACTATCACAAGCACAGACTATATACCCTGTTGCACTAGCTAAAAGGATGGCTTTATTGATAACTACTTCCTTTTTTGGCCGCACTATTAATTTAAGCTGAAAACTATTGATTCTAAAGAGGGCCCAATTTAATGGAGACACGCATTGATATATTTTAGGGGATCTTCGTTAAATGTCAAAATTGATTCTAATCTGTTTACATTTCGTAAAGGCATCATTCTCTGTCACATTGTTTACAGCCTGCTCGCTATTGCTTCGCTCTTGGGCAACGCGGCGGCTGGGCCCTGCAAGCCTTCGAGGACTCTCACTCTGTCTACTTCAACCACTTCCAGAGTCACCTCGTCGATCGTTACCGATACTACTTTATCGCTAACGCTGGACACAACACTATCGAGTGTTACTAAAGACGCCTCTCCATCAACTACATCTGACTATGGCTCAACCTCGACCGACATTACTTTGTCAATGTCAACTGATGATGCTTCATCGTCCACGACCGATGTCTCAAAGTCTTGGACATCGACCACCAACGCTGTATCAACTACTGAGACTACAAGTTCTGTCGAAACCTCCTTGAGCACGACTGAAATTTCTACAACTACTCAACAAGTCTCCACAACAACTACTGAAGCTGCAACCACCACAAGCGACGCACCCGCAATTAAACCTACCTTTGCTCTTCAGGTTGCCAACTCAGCCCGGCAGAGCGTCAACGGCAAAATGCCCCGCTACAGAAAGGGCTCCTCCACTGGCAACATTATCTACCTGACGGTGCCTGCGACGATGGAGAATAACTACGTGACGGGTGACTTCCACATTGAGACCTCTACGAACCGTCTCATGGTTGGCGACGTGTACGTTTCGGTCGGCGCAACATCTTCAAGCCTCATCTTAGCCGAGACTGCCGCCAGCATTGCCACAAGAAACTACCTCTATGTTTCATGTACTCCACCTGTGCAACTGGGGCAGAAGTTGGAATGTGTTGTTGAGGGTACGGCCAGGACGCAGTTTTTTGTTTTCGCTAATGAGCAAACAAGCACACTTATGTTTCTAAGTGCACCAGGAAGCCCTCCAGGTGTCAACTATATTACTTACGACCTAATTGTAGTTGAGGCCTAATGCCATCAACAGCGGCATTTGCTGACACTTGGGTATCGGGATACAAGCGGCAAGATTGTCCAAGACACGGCTGGTATTATCGGGGACGGACATGTCTCAGTTGAATCTTACCACAGCCTCTATAGCTCAGTGGTAGAGCGTCGCACTCGTAATGCGAAGGTCCATAGTTCGATCCTGTGTCGAGGCTACATTCGTTTTACATTTTGCATAATCGTAGAGAAAGACATAAAGACTTCTAAATAGATATCAAATCTGCAAAGGACCAGCCCAGTATCGCATGAAAGACTCTATTTACTACTTCAAATGGATATTAACACATAACGCTACAGCTCAAAATGCTATTTAACATGTGTATGTAAAACAATTACTTGGGCAGCTCATCATTGTGCGTCGAATCTCCCTGCCTATGCGCCTGCTGACCAACGTCCCATTGCCTTGGCCCAGCCCCCATCAGCTTCCATTAAATCTGTCTGAAACTCCCATTTCTTTATCGCTGAACTCAAAGACTTCTTTTTCTTTCTAAGCCTAGCCTCATCTTCCACAAGCTCACCAAGTTTTCTCTCAAGAGTAGGATGTTGCAAGTCAATCTCCTCGAGGATGGTCTGAGCCGATGTAAGTTCGTGTTGGAATGACCGGTGCACAAGCTCGTGCTCTTTCAGTAGTCCTTTGCGTTTGTCGAGATATTCTTGAGCTAATACATCCCCTTGGGATTCTTCCTCTAGAACAGCGATGATCTTGCGGTTCTTGGTAATTACCGCTTGGTTCTCCTCTAACGATTGCTTGGCGGCTTGGATCTGGTTTATTGCGTTTTCCCGCTTGGCGCTGTTGGTTTGATAGAGATTGCTGACGGAGTGAATATGTCCGACAATTTCTACCAGTTTTTGATCGATGTTCTTAGCGTGAGGCTCTGCCCACGCATACCATTCTCGAAGATGTCTTTTGAAACATTCTCCATTTGGCTTGTACATGTTAACAAGGTCCAATGACAACATACTGTGGGGGTCTTACCAATGTAGCATCAAAATCCGATATGTCATCTAAACGTATGCTCCGCCCGGTAGGATCATTCAATCTTTGTCTCTTTCTAGCGTTCCCGATAGTCCATGAACAGTTCGTCTGTGTCGGCATTGCGTTTGGCGCTTGTGTGCGAGAGGTGGGGGCGGGTTGTGATGAAGGCGCCGCGTTGACCCGAGTGGCATTCCCTGTCCCTGCTTGGGGCGGGCGTTCGTTTGAGGAACCCGAGTTTATCCCTGGCGCCGTGGATGAAGCCCCCGGCCGCTCTGGAGTCTGATAAGTGACTGGTGTCGTAGATTCTAGAGGTCGCTTGCGTGAAACATCGGGATTCAGCACTGCGCTTAAAGGAATGTCGTGGGTCTGGCGTGTAGGTGGCTGAATATCGCGTCGAGGGCGAGCAGTGGTTGGCGTTGAGTTGGAGCTTGTTGAACCGACGTTGGATAGGACATCTGGCCTATTAGGTGTTGAAACGCCGGATATGCCTGTTTCCAAAGAGGCACTTGAGGACACATTTCCACCGGCGTGTCTGTAAGTGTCAAACGATCCATCGAGACGATGCAACGCAGACCCAGTTGGAACATCCGTGATTGGTGCGGGTCTAAGGTTTGTGGTAGAACGGGGCTCGCGGGCTCTTGTGGGTGATGAGGCAACATTTGATGAAGAAGCCGATGCGACTGGTGTGTTCAGAGCTCTAGGGACGGGGCTGTTTGAGGCTTGAGCATTAAGCTTAGGATGATTAATAGTAGCAGATGACTGTTGTTGAGATGTGCTCTGTGTCGACTGGTTGACTTGACTTCTGTCCGACGATGCATTGCGGCGTGGCTCAGATGCTGCTGGCCTGTTGAGTGAAGGACTTGCTTGATGGCTGGGCGTGGTGCGCGAAGGTGTAGTAGAAGGCCCAGCCTGACTAGTGTTGTTTGGCCTTGCAACTGATCTTGAGGGACTGGCTTGAGGCCTTGGCCGAGAGGCGCTGTTGGTCATAGCTGCTCTTCGAAGACTTTCTTGAAAGTGGGCATTTACGCTGTCACTGACTCGAAGTGGGGTTGATGGAGCAGTGTTGCTAGACGGTGTCGTTCCGGTTCGAGCATTCGGTCTAGAGGGAGGTTGCGAGGCGGAAGGGCCAGGTTCGCTCGCCCGACTAGATGATGGGTTTAAAGAAAAGGGCCTGGTGACGGGGTTGGGTCTTGGTGCGACAGGCGCATCGTCTTCGGATTTGATTTGGATGGTTGATGACTCGTTAGCTTCTTCATCGTCTGAACTATAATAATTGAAGTCTAGACTACTGTCACTGGTGATATCGCTGAATGCAGCAGTTCCCGCGCGAATCGCCGAGGCGGCCACCGATGGTACTCCATTGGCGTCATTTCCGTCCTCTCCACCAGCAGATCTCCGAGGGAATCGTGGATGCGAATCAACTCCCTCTGTGCGCAGCCACGCTCGAACCTCGGAGATATCATCTCGATTCAAGCACTTGGGTTCTTCATTGGAGTGTTTAAGGGTGATTTCCTTCAATCTCTGCAATACATTTCCAAGTTCAACCTTGTGCGACTCAACCGAGAGACGCACAAGTGTGGCGAACTCTTCGGATAACTTGACGTTCCAGATGTGCGGTGAATGGTCTTTGACGAGCTCGTGAGGCCACTTGCCGGAGAACAAGAAAACGCGTCGGGCTGCAATGGCTGTGCGTTCTGCACTGTATCTACTGGTGTCGAAGGGTGTTATTTGTTCCATGTTTGTACGAGGCTGCGTAAGAGGTGTCGGAAACCTCGACGGAAGCCACGTAGACCCTAAATGAGACAGAATGAGATGAGATGAGATCGGACGGTATGAGATGAGATGGCGTTGATTGAATGTGAGGTGGAACGCGACGATTATTTGTGTCACGTGTGACGACGTCAATGTTTCCTCCCTTGAGCACGGGCCATTCAACCGGGGAAAACGAATACCAGTTCCGGATTAGTGAGGAATGTTACCCTGGAGCATGGATTACTTTCGAGTATGCCGTTTCGTCCTTTCGTAGTACAAGTATTTCGCTAGGAAGGATTTAATCATGTTTATATCCCAGCTTTACCTTGCTTCCTGGTTAATGACTTTTCCCATGAAGTGGCTTTGTTTTATCGAATTCGTGAGGCCCTGATTACAGCTATGTAAGTCAAGTGCGAAGCTTGTGCGTTGCAAAATGAGTATCAATTTGAAAGCTTACTAATTCAATCTGAAATGGATAATATACTCAACATGCCGATTGATTTCTGAATACTGCAACTTATATGTCCTTCTAGCCCTAATTATTCTTCCGTTTCCGCTATTCTTATTCACAACTCACTGCTACCATCAACTCCTAGGCCTAATTAATGAACGCCAGCATAACAATTAGAGCCACGCCCGGTTAGCTCAATCGGTAGAGCGTGAGACTCTTACGAGTACGCGATCTCAAGGTTGCGGGTTCGACCCCCGCATCGGGCTGTTCCTATAAAAACGATTGCAAACAAGCGAGGCATTTCTTTTTTGCCTTTGGATGTATTTTGTGTTCAGTCAATTTTGCTAAGTGACTGCAAGTCGGGTTACTGGAGTGTCTGGGTCTGATCATGTCTGTGTTGACAGAAAGAAGCCAGTGATCTGTTTGATTGATAATGCTAGAGTTTCTTTTTGGAGGGGTTCATGATGAGGACAGTTTGTCAGTATTGTGTTGCGAATGTGTCAGTTTTCTGTCTGTCTATTTCTACCTATCAGGTTGAGCTATTTATAACAGTCTAAAGGTTCCGAATGCGATAATCAGGACTTCCCGGCTCTCAAAATCATAGAGTAATGTGGAATCCCCAGGACCAAGACAGTTCGAATATCCTCAAAGCCCGCGGCAACATACAATGGCCGCCCAGCTTCAGTAGCTACAAGATAACAGTCCTTCCCTTCCTCGGATGCACGGTCAAGTCCCCATTGCAGTAACATCTTTCCTATTCCCCGTCTCTGGTTGCCTGGTCCAACTCCGATGTAGTCAAGATCTAGAAATGTCAGCATTTGCTACATGGACAATGAAGTCGAGCACAAACGCCAGACGCCAGCAATCCCTTTCTCGCCAAGCGTGTCTATAGCATCCTGATTCACAGTTTTTTTCATTTCCTCGAAAACTGATTTGTCAAGTGCATCACACTCTACGGGCTTGCTTGGACTAGAGTCACCCCCCTCAGCTGGAGGTGCATCCCAGAGTGCAAAGCCCGCGATGCGATCTTCGACATTTTTGTCCTTATCGACTGCTATAACCAGATGAGATTCTGATGATGCGAGACTGGATGCTTTGCGTGCTAAGCGCCAGTCATAGGCTGCTTCGCCGTCGGGTATGTCTTTTGGCTGTAGATGGCGAGGGAATAAGCGACGAGAGAGAGCATCTGTTTCTGGATGAAAGGCAGATGTTGCAATGCGAGCAATAGTTGGTAAATCTGCCTCGGAGGCTTTGGTTAAGTAAATCGACATGGTCAAGATTTGTTTCGTTGGTTTAAAAGTAAATGACTGTTCTGGAGGCGGAGTACTTGGCGTCAAAGGCCGCTATAGCTGAATAACAGAGGTCACGGGGTCACCCACTAACCTCACAGTGGCTCGGAGCATGATTGGTAAAAGATATCCAACCCTCGCATGTTTAATTCATGATTGAATATCATCTGTACTCGTGACAGAATTTAATTACCAAAACACCTCAATTATGAGCTGACTGCTGGCCAGAGCTTTGGAGAGTAAGTCGGTCACGTGTTACTATCGCGAAAATTCACCGTCTGGCTGCAAAGAGCGGGGAGAAACCATAGATCAACTAAATATCACACGCCAGCGATGAAACGATCCCTCCTCAACTTTGATCATCGAGGTGACGCACTCCTCACTCTCCGCAGACCCAACGCTCAAAAAATACCCTGGTCAAGAAGTAAAAAATCTCTGTCAAGCGAGGCCGTCCACAAAAATGAAGCGTCTGGCGGGTCATCCAAGAACTTACGGTCAATACAGCCTTGCAAAGATGACGGTCAACCGAATGAGATACAATTCAGAGTATCTACGAGGAACCTGTGTCTCGTGTCTTCAGTATTCAGAGCAATGATCGAAGGACGATACAGGGAGTCACATCCTAATCCTCAAGGTCTTTTGGAACTCGGCGCTTCGGAATGGAATGTTGAAGCCTTTGTTATCTTG